GTGACGTTACCACCATGCTACTGAGAAATGTAGTCAAGTTAGTAACTGCCGAACACTGCCGCTGTAGCAGCAGGATTTACACTTGTGAGGCAGAGCCTGCGTCGTTGTGAGCATTTATACTTGTGCAGTGGTGTGTCTGTGTCACTCTGCAGTTACACCTCCAAAACACTAGTCGGCAGTGGAGGTTTCTGTGAAGTGCTCTAAAGTTTAGTGATTCAAAACACACATTAAACACACATTAAACATGGATTAATAGAGACAATTTCAAACACAAGTACACAAATCAGCTTCACTATAACTCGCAGCATTCACAGACAAACACTTGTCTTTATCTGGACACATTTTCCCCACAAATACAACATGCTAACATTATTAGCACAAGCTCATAGCATTTTACATTGTATAAATTAGCCTAGCAACTAGCAGACTTTTCCTCTACTCATATGAAGCCAGGGACAACAGCAACATTTAACAAAGGAAATCTGTATCGTTTGCAATGTAAAGTACAATGAACATACTAATGACTTGTTCTTGAGGGCAGCTGCATTGAAATTTCTAGATTTGATTAAATTAAAAACTGTACAAATTGCCTATTGGGCGAAACATAATCAACTACCTGTTATCATCCAAGGACTTTTCTGTGAAAGGGAAAGTGCCAAGAGATATGACCTTCGGGGTAAACATAAACTGGCACAGCAGCTCACAAGGACAACCCTTAAATCTATGAGTGTCTCAGTTTGGGGAGTAATTATGTGGAATAGTTTGGCCGAAAGCATTAGAAATAGTAAAAGCCTAAGTGAGTTTAAAAGAAAGTTTAAACAACAGATGTTTGATTTGTACAGTAGGGAAGATGGGGGTGGTTAAATTAAATTAAATTAAATAAATAAATAAATATAGGACAAATGTAAGACTGTTGAAGGAGTTCGCAATGTCTTTGTTTGTTTGTTTGTTTGTTTGCTTGCTTGTTTTTTTTATTTATTTATTTGTTGTTATGTATTTCTTGATGGTGTCTTTATGTGTCTTTATGTATGTATGTAAATGGGGGATGGAAATTTAAAAGCTATGCTTCGTCCATCCCCTTTTCAGGCCAGGCGTTGTTGTTTTCTAACTGTGCTGTCGCTGTATTGGTATGTTGGTGTCTGTAGTTTGTTCTGTCTGGTTGTTGTGGTCTGGTGTGAAATAAATGCACTAAAAAATAAATAAATAAATAACGTTACAAAATTTGGCTCCATTACAACTCACAAGGTTCACTGACAAAACAACTGTCTTATACTAAACACGTTTTCCAAACAAATACAACATGCTAACGTTATTAGCACAAGCCTATGGCATTTTACATTGTATAAATTAGCCTAGCAACAAACGGAGATTTGGCACTTACACCAAAGAGACCCCAAAGTTATTGTCAATTTTCTTTTGACTGACTAAACAATTAATTGGCTTTTTTCCCTCACTATAAAATAACCCTTCATTTTTTTTATGAAATGAAGCCCAGTCTTAATCTAGGTGTGTTTTATACTGGTCTTATTGGGAGGGACTGTAACCACACTGATGTTTTGTTGTGCCTTTACTGTCCGACTGGAGAAAGCGACTCTCCTCTGGGGTATCATGGCTTAATCAAGCAGTGTCAGAGATGGTAATCCTTCGCTCTTAATGATGATGGATGGAGAGGTGTCCTTCATCTTTAAGCCTGTTTGCTTCGCTGCACTGTTCGCCATTGATTCAAGGATTAACTGTCTAAATGGGTTCAACCAGGAAACTGTAAATAGTAACAGAAAGGAGCTGATGGAAATCTCTAAAGCCCAAACAATAAACTATGAAAGCAGCGTGTGTGTGTGTGTGTGTGTGTGTGTGTGTGTGTGTAAGCGAGAGGCTGTTCCTCATGGTTGAGTCATCGGGGGATAAACAGTGAACACAGGCAGCATATGGATTGTGAGCCGTGCTGTCTTCAGGGATAAGAGCTTATGAGTCTGTTTCTCTCTTCACCATCTTCTCTGGCCTCTCTCGTTTTCTTTTCATCCCAACGACAAACACGTATTCGATTAACTTCACATAATATCACTCCTGTTACGCTCAGATCCTCTCTTTCTTTACAGCTCCCCAAATCCCACATTTCAACTGGTGGCATTTTCATTTTCCTGCATCTCTTTTGTTTCCCACCTCACCAGATTCTTTCAGTGTGCTGCTGGGCTTTCCCTCCTCTCTGTAGCAACAGCTGCATCAGCAGCAGCAGCCAGCCGAGCGCTGCAAATGTCTTGAAAGACAGAGAGAGGCTATAAATCGTAGCAGTGTCGACACTCTGCCAGTGCAGCAGAGCCAGGCTGAGCACAACAGGTCCAGCCAGGAGGCTCATGTTCAGTCATACAAGCAGAAAGTGGCTCAATTCATCAGTAACGCTGGCAGTCAGTCGCTGCTTCAGTCAGTCTGAGCCTGGCTTCTGTCTCAGCAGCAGTGATGACATCAACCAACATGCTTACACCCAAGGAAATTAACACAGGAAGGAGAAAGACAGCGAGCCAGTCAGGGATGTTGTGGCCTTGTTTTAGAAATGCGCACCTCTGACCCAGGCCCCCAGGAAGTACACCGGGCTTTGAAGCTAATTTTCGTAATGGCCAAACCAGTGGTTCTGCAATCTAGGGTCCGTCACGTGATGCCAGTGGACCCAAAAAGACTTTACATGTGGAAAAAGACATCTGTAAACCAGTGGATACATTTCTTTAAGTGGCACAACACCTGCGGAATGACTTGTTTTCCTATCGAAATTTGATCCACTTTTTCTAATATCATTTAAAAAGTCCAGAAAAGCCGCAAGATTAAATAATTTTATTCCCTTTCAAGTTAGCAGAGCATTTAACCCTATGTCAGCTGCTTGGCTGGCGGAAGTTGGCATTTCCGGTCCTGCTCAGGTGTCCTAAGGCCTCATTTACACCGCAAGTGATGTGGTCGTGAAGCGGTCCACAAGCGTAGCAGCAGCACACGTGTATTCACACCAAAACCGAAAAGACGTTCAGAAGTTTGGTTCGTACAAACCACACCTGAACAGTTTGTGCAGTAGTGCACCGTGTTTGCAAATCTCCAATAAACCCCAAAGAAGAAGAAGTGAGTTTGGACCCAAAGCCCAGGCTGGGCAAGTTTGCGCACCAGTGATTATTCCAACGCTTGGAGAAATAATATTTAGCACCACAAATGGGTAAGTAGTCTTTGTCTGCTTTGTATTACTAGCCTTAGCACAAAAAGCCCATGTGTTAGCCTCATTGCAAACACGAGTTTGCGTGTGTTGTGACCTCTCTCAGCCACTGCAGATGTCGAAAGCATTTTAGCAGATGGAGGCGGCTTTTCATAATTGTTGTTAAGGAGAATGAAGCTTTTTGCTTGTTGTTTTTGTGTTGGGACGGGCCTGGTATTTCTGCACTCTAGGCACCTGGCGTGTTTCCCAGAGCGCTCTGAACTCCTGGAGTTGAAAAAATTTTAATTCAAAGCAGAAAAGCGCCCCACGTCATCTCTTTTCCCATTATCCAATCAGATGATTTGAGAGGCGGGCCTTCTGTGGTGGTCATGACAACAAGTTTACAGTTGGTAAACAATGGAGGAGAAACTGGTGGTAGTGGTTGCTGGATACCCAGAACTATACAGCCTGATGATAGACAGCAGGTTGTCAAACTGCCCCTGAGTCATCCTAAAATCTGCCTGTAAACGTCCATGATGGAGGAGAAGCTCCTGGCCCAACTGGTGGTACTCCCCATGATCCAGCCTCTTTTTTAGGGTCTCATGTACCCACACAGATCTCTGTTTATCTGCTGACAGCCTCTCACCCTCATCCAGAGCTACAGACAGTACCCTCTGCCTCAACATTTTAGTGAGTAGCTACTAATTACTGTGAAATAAAATCAATAAAATAAACAGTAGATTGATTACACACAAAGCTTAGGGTAAGGAGGTGATGAAGTGGTTGCCTGGCAACAATAAAAAGACACAGCAAAGCGTTTTGGGTTTTTTTATTCCAGTAGTGGCATTCAATTATAAAAAGCAGCGCCTCGGGTTTTGCAACCTGCAAATCTTTTTTTATCTGGGCCTAATACATCCATGGGCCAAACAGCTGTACAGCAGTTACTGAGGTCCGTCATGTGATGCCCTACGGCCAAAAATGACTTTTTCCCATAGACTTACATGGTGAAAGAGATGTCTGTAAATCAATGGATACATATTTGAGCATCACAATCCCCGCAAATTACTCCTTTCACTATCAGGACTTGATACAGTCAGTCCGATAACATTCGGAAACTCTAGAAGAGCCGCAAGATTAAATCATTTCATCCCCATTCAAGTTAGCAGAGTGCTAAACCGGAAGCTACCAGTTTAGATGGCGGAAGTTAGCCACTTGGTTGCACTTGGCAAAGCTCAGACGCCATAGTGCGCCTCAGGTGTCCAGGAAAGCAGTTCAGCCTTGCAGCAAATTTTTCCCAATAGACACTGTGGCCCAAAATCATTTTTCCCATAGACCACTATTATATAAGAGAACTCTATAAAACTATTGACAGGACACCTCACCTGCAAACATCAAATATAACTCTTCATGTCATGAATTTTTGAGCCATGGAGGTTTTACGTTTGTAAAACTTTCCTCATGCCAAGAAAAGTGTCATCGTCTACGGGCTCAGCGGAAACTCACGGGCGGGGCCGACAGGAGAAACTCAGCGAGGCATGTTTGGTGGGCCCCATACCACGAAAGTAAACCTGGAACCTAGAAACTTTCTTGCCATATGGGCCAGGTGAGCCACTCTACCTGAATGAGGCGCCATCTTGGCAGCTGGTATGTAATTAGCCGTCTGATCGGGTAATTTTAAACACAGCAGTTTAACCATTTTGGCTCCTGAGCAGCTCCCAGGAATGAACGGGGCCCCACGTTCAGTGCTGTATCCAGTTCTCCTCATACATCCATGCTCTGACCCCTGAGAGCTTCACTCACTCACACACACACACACACACACACTAGCAGCTACCTGTCGGAGTGTCTTCAGCATCTCCGTGGCCTCGTCTTGCTTCCCCTGCTTGGCCATCAGCATCATCTCCTGGATCATACCGATGCGGCGCTGGTAGGGCGGCGGCGTCCCACCACGGCTCAGTCGGTCCCCTGACTTCAGCATGAGGGAGGCCAAGATGTCTCCTCGCTCCTTGGTGGGCGTTCGCTTCCAGCTGTGCTGAGGGCTGGCCCCTCCAGGCTCCTGGCCTTTGGTCTGCTTGGCGCCCATGGTGCTGCGTTAACGTGAACTTTGATAAGAACAAGGCCGGTCCCACAGAGGCACGTCTGATTAATGTCTGAGATGCTTTGCTCATCAAAATGTCTGCAGCTGATCACATCTGCAGTTTGGGGCTGATGTGTGAAGCAGTGAGAGCAATAAGATCCCAAACTGCTCAGGAACAATACTCATCATCACCCAGTGACACAGAGCAGAGAGTGAAACAAGATAACACTCCAAAACATCAAGAAGTTGAAGTGTAGTTTTCTGCTTTTGTAAACTTGCTCCCAGAGAGTGCAGCTCAGGTCGGGAACAGGTCTGAGGATGCCGCCTGCAGCATGGCCGCACAGCACGGACACGGTCAGGATGCAGGATGCCTCCCTCCGGAGCAGAGCGTGGCCCGCTGCAGCCTCCTATCCCAAACACAACTTCAACACCTCCCCAACATGTTTACCTTCGACAGCAGCGATATGTTCTCACTCTCCTCTGCTGTTATCCTCCAAAACAGATCCCAGAGGAGGAGGAGGAGACGATCAGAGGAGGTGGTGCATGAAGCAGGGCATGGCAATGTTTACGTCTCCTGAAGCTCACCGCGGACGGTCTGTCCTTCCTCCGCCGCTGGAAGTCATGCACAGGCTGAAACCATCCGACCAGCCCGGGCTGCTTCGTCCTTCTCCAAGGTTGATCCTCCCTTCCTCCGCTCAGCTCCGGAGCAGGAAGCAGCCGCAGCAGTATCTGTGAGGAGGCTGCAGCTCCGCGGCTCGTCAGGAGAGGACAGACTGAGGTGTTCCCTTACTGGGACTGAATTATGTATCGCACCCTCTGTGCAACTGAATGGGGGCGCGCGGCGAGTGCACGTGAGCACGAGTCCACCCGCCTCACCGAGTGATGGAGGGAGGAGCACGAGCACCACGTACGGTCAAGTTTGCAGTTTCTCAGTTTCAAGGGACGACATGCATCTTCTATGGGAGGGCGAGGAGGTGCCAGGCTCCATTCATTAATGTGGCAATTTCATTTTGTGTTGCTCCTTCCTTCATATGCATAAATCTGGTCAAGATGAGTCATAGCTTATAAAGTTATGTGTGGTCCTCTAATAAAATCGGCATATAGGTGATTATCAGTAGTATCAATTTATTGACAAAAAAAAAAAAAAAAATAGGGATGCATGATAATATCGGCACGTCGTGATATCGGCCGATAACAGCTTCAACATGCTTTTTCTTATTTTGCACACTGAATAAATAGGCTATCACATACTTTGAAAAGTATTGTATTTTATGTCTCCATCTGCTGGTGGGCCGTCATGATAAGAGTATGCGTGCATTATATGGTGTTTATTCCACCACAGAAGAGACTTGATGATCACTAAAATAAGGTGGGAAAAAATGGATGTATTGGCATATCGGATATCGGCAAAAAATCTATTATCATGCATCCCTCAAAAAATTAAACAAAATAAAATTATATAGGCTATATATACAATGGGTAAAGTGCTAAGCTTTATCATTTTTATCTTTACATGTGTATACTTCTATTTCTATAGCCCCATTTCCACCAAGCAGTACAGTTCAGTTCAGTTCAGTTCAGTTCGCTTTTTTTCATTTCCACTGTGAAAAGTTGTGGATGGTACCAACAGAAGCGTTCCTTAGCGTCCCCATGTTTGGTCCCCCGCTCTGTTGGGGTACCTAGCACACAGATGTGGTACTAAAAGGTGGAGCTGTGAACACTGCAGTCTGATTGGTCAGTAGAGGACGGTCACTCTGCTCAGGGCTGAGTTGTGTCTGGTTTTGAGGCTCATGTAACCACTGTTCATACTGTGGAGAGTTTTATTAGTAAACTGTAACTATAAAATGAAAGGATGCTTTGCTGCCTCTCACAGCAGCTGGAGTCTGAGAAACAATAACTTCATTCACTGGGCCGACTGCCGGCAACTTTTAAGGTGGAACGTTAACTTGTAATGTTACTCAATGCATGAGTTGATGACGTGAATCCATCAGCACACCTTAAATTTCACTGTGACAACTTTGACCATCACTTTAGTTTTTATTGTCTCTCTTGGATGATAGACACTTTTAGTGATGAGTGGATCTAATCTAATATTCTAATCATCATGTGGAGAAAAAAAAGGGTCGTGGAGCGTCGTTCCTGTGGGCTACAGCAACACTAAACCCCTGAGCTTGCCTGAGATCATCATTAGCAAGTATGAGATTAAATAATATACTGTGCTTTCCAACACCCACACTACTATACTATATAGTGTGCCAAAAATAGTTAATTATGTCCTTTACATAGTAAATACAGGATGTTCTACTACATTTGGTCAGATTTTGCAGTATGGCTGAATCCAAATATCCAGACTTCATCGTTCTTGCAAACTTGCAGACTTTGTGGGCGTGTTCATGGGAAGTCTGGAAGTGTTAAAGGCTCCATATCCACAGTTCATTGCAATATAGACATTAATGTTGTAGTATTTTTCAGTAGCTGACTAAAAAATCAAAACTTATGTGTATGTAAAACAGGAAGTGTAGCCTATTAAAGCACTACCTGAATCATGTCGGCTAGAAATAATATTCAACAACATCATGATACAGAAATATGTAGAAATATACGCTGTAGAGGGAAATCAAAATGCAGTGTATTATCGCAGTGGACACTATAGGTTGCGTAACGCCAAATATAAAGGCGAGAAAAGAAGATCTCCTGATGTAACTGACATGCCAACCTGATTTTTTTAGTCATAGCTCGGCCCTCATTCACAACCATCTCTGTATCTGAGCGTCTGCAGTCTACATGTTATACAGACATTCATTTTGTTCACTCACAGAACAACCCTATACATGAGATTTCCATCTTATTATCTGCAGGGACACATGAGCAGACAGAATGTGACAGCTGTTACAATGACTGTAATCGTCTCTCTAACGTTTCCATGGCGACCAGTAAAACAGTCTCGAGAGCTGTACGTCACATCCACTGAGACTCAAACAGGTGATTGACAGGTGACAGAAGCTGCAGTGACGGATGACAACACATAAAAGTGACTGATGACCAGTGGAGCAGTGATAACAGGGATATTAATTGTTTAATTGAACAAAATAATCATAAATATAAACAACAACAAAAGGCCACAGGTGACGGAGAAATAAATCACCTCTGTAATTTATCATCAATATGTCAGACTTTAAAATGCATGCAGTTAACAACAGCAGAGCTCAACTGGTCGACCTCCGCTCGGTGAACATTGTTTTATCTCCAAGGTAACAGATATATGAAAGAGAGGGTCAAGGTTCAGGGTGCTTGAAATAGTAGTATATCCTGCTTATGTGCATACTGCGTGCAACAGTACAGTATATAATTTTTAAGGGCAGCTGGAGTTCAAACCTGAAGTACTAAAGAAAAAGTACATGATTTGAAATGCACCCATGGGTTCTGCGGCTATGAGGGATAGTTTGTAAATGTTATTTTGTTATGGGATGTCATGATGTTCATATTAATCTCTTTTATTTAATGTGGTTTTGACGCCATCTCACTTAAATAACAATTCAACACATTCTCACTCTGACCTCCTCACATATCGACGTTTGGTCACGTCCACATATGACGTCCAAGGTATCCTGGGTGTGTTGGTTGTTGACGTTCTGGGACGCCGTGTCAACTTCAGCCTGTTACATGCATTGTCTGTTTTCAAAATACACTTCTGTTTTCACAGGAAATGTACAGTTTGCATACAGTCTCTTTCAAAATAAAGGTACTATGATGGTACAACACCATGTATTGACGTTGTTTTTTTTCCCTTCAGTAATAAACTAGTCCATAGACATTGGTAGCTTTGTCACCTTCTACCTATGCCAATCCTCAGTGCCTATGTGCAGTTTCACATAGATTGACCACGTCAGTGAGTAGAAAAACGTGGGACAGACAGAATGACTGACTGACAGAATGACACACTGACAGTTTCCGTGATTATGTACAGCATACCATACCATGACTTAGTCATACCAAACATTAGAAAACACCAACATTGGTCCACAGGGGGAGCCACAGCGATCGGTCACATTTTAGCCATTTTGAAGCATTTTTCTGTTGTTATAGCGCCACCCAGTTGCCAATTAGAGTTAAATTTCTCCAGTCACCTTGAGGCGTCCTGTTCTACATATCTACCAAGTTTAGTAAAAATCCATATGGCGGTTAGGCCTAGATAAGAAATGAGCTCTCTAGCGCCCCCATTTTGTTTGATGGGGTCAATAATGGAGGGGTCCCCTCAGATTATGTGTGGTCATATGCCTACAAAGTTGCGTGGTGATGGGTGAAACCCTTGAGATGTTATACACCTTTATGTGATGAGCCACGCCCTCCGCAATATTCATTGCCTTTTAGAAGCTCAGTTTTAGTAAGTTTTCCAACTTTTGCCAAGAGGGAACTTTAGATATTGGTCCCTAGATTATGTTCACCCAGTTTCATGCAGATCAGTCAAACTTCCTAGGAAGAGATCCATTTGAAGTGTTTTTCAAAAAATTCAAAATGGCGGAAAATCTATATAAGCGGAAGTTATGGGTTCTTGAGGCAAATGTGTTCCTCATGAGGAGAGGCATCTCTGTGCAAAGTTTCATGTCTCTACGACATACGGGGCATGAGATATGCCCATTCAAAGTTTGCAATTTCAATCAGTTGCTATAGCGCCCCCCTTTGGTCAATTGATGTAATAATGCTTCATTGGCATCCTCCCATGACCCTCTACCACTGTGCCAAATTTCACATGGATTGACCAAGTCAGTGAGGAGAAAAACATGGAACAGACACACACACAGAGTTTTCCTCATTATATAGTAAAGATGTACTTGGTTACATGTGGCCAACACAAGCAGGTGGTTGAGTTTAGGAAGAAAGAACAGGCTTTGGTTTTACGCTCATATGGGAGGAAACACTGGCCTGCTAGGTGAAAGTCAATGATTGTTGTACTCACCCGCCCTGGGTCCCCTTAACTTACAAATAACAATAACCGACCAAGTTGAACAGTGTGTTTGAAGTGTCCCTCTTTGACAGTAGCACTGGGTAAAATGTGGTTTGGGGTCGCTGTGTGTTTGAGGAAGAGTCATACATCCTGTCTTTAATCTTTCTTTCTTCTGCACAGTGTGGTACAGCTCTGTAGCTACTTTTCTCAAAGGACATTTTTCAGCCCAGCACACATGTGATTACTTCTGCTTTTCAAACTAAGAAAACAAGGTCTAAACAGTAGATGCAAGCAGATACAAAACACACATGGAAATATGATTGATTGGATTATATCT